TTAGCCCCACGCCTGCTTGCATGGTCAGTGGGCTCCCTGAGGGCAGGGCTCTGCTCTCCTATCCCAGCTCCTGGCACAGGGCCAGTGTGTTGGCAAATGGAAAATCAACAGGAATTAGACATCAAAAATAGTTTCTGTACAAACAACATAGATAAGGAAAATGGTCTGAAAATAAAACATGATGGTAGAATTTCTTTCTGTGTTTAAGTTAATGATGCATGGTTATTCCATGAGGTGATACTTAAGTAGACTGAATGAAATCTGCTCCTTCCTATCAATATCGTTGGTTCAGGGAAAACGTGTGCAGATGTGGCTACACACAGAGCCACCACATGGAAGGCACCCAGATCAACCAGAGCGAGAAATGGAATTACAAGAAACACACCAAGGAGTTTCCCACAGATGCCTTTGGGGATATCCAATTTGAGACGCTGGGGAAGAAAGGCAAGGTAAGCGTGGTCTTCTATGTAGCTAGCTAATTAGAATGCTGAGACAACTTGAGCTACCTTGAAGTACTGCTAATTGTCTAATGGTAGGGAGGAGGAGTGTCCAGAAATGACAGCAGAAAAAGATACTTTTTGCAAAAGTCACAAAGTAGTGAYCAGATTATGCTCAGCTGGACTAGGTGGTCACCCAGCTGTCCCTGCACACACACTGTGGGTTTCTTTATAACACCCATGTTGGACCTCATGCCACAAAAGGTCAGGGAATACTTTTGTAAACTGTCCACTTAGCTTGGGTGTGAGAATACATGTGTCCTGACAAGGTGACATGCCCCTCTACCTGCTCCCGTTGTAAGCTCTCAMACAGAGTTTTGCACAGGTGTCCAATGGTTAGATGAGGGTGCTCCCTGTCTCCATGACAGCGCTGTCCTCAGACTGCTCTGGCTGGAAGCCTGGGCCTTGGAACCCTCTGGGTCCCAAGCCCTGTCCTGGTGGCCCTGAAGGCCACAGGCTGCCTCCACTGCTCTCTTCCATGGCCTGCGCCCAGGATGGCCCAGCATGGTCTCCTGTCTGTGCACAGCTCTGCCCACCCCAGCCTGGGCCCCTTGATGTGTACCCCACACTGCAGCGGGACTGCGAGCATCCGCCGCGGCTACCCTGCTGTGGACACCTCCCGGCGGGGGTGGAGGCCCCGGGGTGCACCGGGTTGGGCCTCAGRGCCCACCTCGTGCCCTCCACCACGCAGCCCCCGGTCCCCACACCATCCTGACGCTTTCCCTCCCGCACAGTACATCCGTTTGTCCTGCGACACGGACCCGGAAACCCTCTACGAGCTGCTGACCCAGCACTGGCACCTGAAAACGCCCAACCTGGTCGTTTCCGTGACGGGAGGCGCCAAAAACTTCGCCCTGAAGCCGCGCATGCGCAAGATCTTCAGCCGGCTCATCTACATCGCGCAGTCCAAAGGTGCCACCCGCTGGGGACGGGTGTGGGTGTGGGTGTCGCGCTGTGTGGTGGGCTCCCAGGGTGAATCCTCCGTGCAGCCTCGCGATTAACCACCGCTTTAGTACTAGCAGCATTCTCAAATGGACAGACAGGGGCTTCACCAGGTAACCCTTTCTATCCCCCTTAAGGGGCTTCCTCAGGATGATTTTATTTTATTTAAATCTGAAGGTTTCATTTTATTATTTACACATATAATTTTTTACCCAGAATATTCTGGTGC